TGGCCGTGGCCTCTGTTACCTGGATGTAAGACCCACTGACCCAAGGAAATACATTCCTTCTTAGGATTGGGGCCTGCATCTCTCTATACTATATGTATTTTCCTTCTCCTTTCTGCCTCCTCCAATTCACCCCCCCCTTTCACTCCCATTCTCTCTCTCCCTTTCTCATTCCTATTCCATTCTCTACATCACGCCTCCTGCAATCTCATATCTCATTTTTCTTCCTCCTTTTTTTTCTTCCTTTCTTTCCGTTCTCTCTCTCTCTCTCTCTTTCATCCCTCCTTTTCTCTCTCTCTGTTCTCTCCCCCCCCACAATGCAATCCCCAACCAACCAACCAACTCGCCCCCCCCACCAAACGCCTTTGTGTCTCTGGCTCCCTCATAATAAATATGCAGCAGCCGTCTAATTATGTCTCCCGCCTCCTTTTCTCCTTAATGAGACAATTTGCATTGACTAACCACCCTCTGAAGGGGGAGGGGAAGAGAAAAGGCATGGGGGGGGGAGAGAAGAGAGGAAGGGCGCAAGAAAGCACATTTCCTCTCTTTCTAACCCCCCCTCCCTCGCCACCAATTCTTCCTTCCTCCATTACAAGCAGAGGAATGAACAGAAAATATTAAAAAGTTAACAGGGTGTCTTTCCTCCTGGGACGCAAAGATAATAATGTTAAAGGGCTGAGGTGGGCGGACGACCAAGGGGGGGGGGTTGTGTGTGGAGGACAGACAGGAGGGAGGAGAAGCTGGTTGTGTGGAAACCGGGGAGGCAGATGTGGGCAGATGTGGGCCTCGGGTTCAGGTAGGGCAAAACATGGCTCCGGCCCAAAACCTTGCCAAGCTGTTGCCAGCCAGAGTGGACAATATTGAGTTTGATGGACTAGGAGTGTTCCCACGCGAAGGGATTTTGGGGGGGTGTTGGGTTGTGCGGCTGGTATCTTTGCCACCCCAACTCCGTCTCCACTCCCCTTCGAAACCGGTTTGAAGCCTGTTTGGTTGCCATGGCTCCCACTACTGATACAGAGGGTGATATTTGTGGCGGGCGGGGGTGAAGGAATATCTCCTTGCCCCCCCCCCCCCAAATTATCTTCAACTCCCAGCATCATGGGGGGGGGGAGGTCATGCCAGCCCACACTTAATTTGGCTGGGGCTGCCGACCTGTGAAAAGTCAAACGAGGGGGGGGGTTAGGGATTTTCAAGAAGGAATACCCCAAGTTTCATTTCCCTGAGGGGCACACACACACCCCTCCTCACAAATTTACAGCGACCGACAATTATTTATAAAAGCATTCATATACCAGCCTCTCAGCAAAATTCAGGGGTGTATATAGCAAACATAAAAAAAATTAAAAGCAACAACAACCAAAACACCATGGCAAATATTGGGATCGTCCAGTAGTCTAGTTCTGGGAGAGAGCATCACTGGCCCTTCAGAGGTTGAGCCAGAACTCAAATCATCCCTAACCATTGGTCATGCTGGCCGGGGCGTGCTAAAGTTGGGTGTGCAACATAACTCAGAGGCGTGCATGTTCCCCCACCTCTGATCTTGGTTCGCTTGGATTCACTATTGGGGGGCGGGAGAGCTGAGAAACTCTTGCGTGGAAATTCTCCTGCCTTGTCATGGTTGGGTTAGTGGTGTGTCAGAACGTTAGCTGAAGAGAGGATTTGGAGCTGGATAAATGGATGAGTCATGTGGTTTTTTTGGGCAAAGGGTTGGCAGGGCAGGTATGTCAAGTTCACAGGAGTTGGCAGGGTTGAGGTTCACGGCAAACGGAAATGGCTTTCACGCTGAAAGCACCGCCGATCTGTGGAACGCCATGCTGCAGGATATCGCGGAAGCCGCTGCCGTTCTCTGCCTCCGCCAAAGGAATGGCAAATCTGTGAAGGACGGGTCGGCTTTTGACACCTGCTAGTCCTAACTCCTGGAAGAGCCTCTGCCCTCGTCCCTCTGAGCTGCAGAATCAGTTTGGAAAGGTGGCGGACATTTGAGCTAGTACAACCTTCCTGGGAAGGGATATTTGCTGAAATAACAGTACAGAGTGTTCTGTGTAATCTGTGTTTCGGTTTATTAACAATTTTTAAGGAAGACCAGCTTGCTTTATTCTATAAGGTGGGGAGTGGGTGGGTGGAGAGAAAGAGATAAGTGGATTGACAAGTAGACAAGTGGGTGATATCTAGCCTTGATGTGTTGTGACTGAAGGAAATGGAAACAAAAAATGAGGAGTTTTATAGGGCCTTTTTGGTGGTGGCTCCGAAGCTTTCTGGATCTCTCTCCCAAGACCCTGCATTCAGAAAACTATTGGTTTGTTCGTTTCGGCTTTTGGCTGAAGAAGTTTTTATGCCTCTGGTTTTGACTGCTGCCCGGAATATATTAGAATGTCACATCGAATTGCTTTTGGGGGGAGAAATTGAAATGAGGATAATGAGGATATTGGCGATGTGTGATGGAGGAAGGTGCTTAAAATGTGCAGCAAACGCACTTGTCTTAAGTGAGTAGACCTGCGGATGGACTTGGGGCGAGGGTGGAGTTCGAGTGCTTCGGTTTGCACTTCCTAACAGGCTGTGGGCCCACAGCTGCGCGTGCCGCCGTCTGGCCTGGGGAGATCTGTAGATAGGTGTGCGTACGTGTGCCCTTAATTTCAAACTTAAAGCTTTTCTTGAAAGCCCGCCCTCTCTAATCCTGGATGTCTGGGGAATTAGCTTTGGCTTCTCAGCAGTGAGGAACTGGGCATCTTGCAGATGCTCAGATGCAGTGCTCTGCGTACAGTGTTAGAAACTGAGATACGGAAGCAAGGAGCTAAATGGCACCTTAAAACTAGGTTATGGGCGCAACAACGGAATGTCTAGGCGTGCTTTTTTATAACAAGAATACAACGCTGAAAATGAATGAACTGCAGCTAAAATATTATGTGCATTTTTCACGTGATCTCGTCCTTCTCCTGCCTACCCCCCTAATATTCTTCCGGGTGGCGGGCGGAGGGCGAAACTGACCCCCCTAATATTCTTAAGAGGGTCTCTTCTCCAGTCTTCAGAGAGTGGCTGGAAGTGGGGAGGCAGAAAAAGGTCCTCCTTTCCTTCCAGTCTGCAGTTTTAATCTGAAATCTTAGGCGCAGCGCTGCACCCAGAGCCCAGAAGCTAATGAGATTCCCCCTCGCAAAATGCGCCTAGGACGACGGGAGGATGTCTACGTAAGGGCTGAACTGAGTGCCAGGAAGGTGGGAGGATGAGGTGGCTGTCTGAATGTGGGAGGAAATGGAAACTGCAAGTTGCCAGGAGAACCTATTCCTGCCTCTGACCCTAGTGCTTGTTCACTGCAGAATGGAAGGATTCCTGTTTTTCCTTGCCTCCTCCCCCACTTTTATCAGCTGCTGGCATGCTAAGCTATTAATTTGCATTGCAAATCCTTCCCCAGCCCAGATCCAGAAGAGGAGCCTTTTGCCTCCCCCCCCCCCTTTCCTGTAGCCGGGCTGTTTGCCCAGAGTCCTCATGTTTTTGCAATTGCCCTTCCAGGAGTCCCTGACCCACCCACCTCCACCCAGCCATAACCAGCTCTCCTCTCCCCGTATTGGGAGCTGATTTAACACGAGAACGGGCATAGCTAGACAACATGCAGCTTGAATAAGTAAAGTTCCCATTGAACATTTCTAGTTTCTCGAACCTGGGACCTTTTGCACATAAAAGCATACACTATATCCCTGAGCTACGAGTATAGGAACTACCTTATATCTCAATAAGCCTATCCCTGGCCTGCAACGGCTCTCCACGAAAGGAGTATTTCTTGTCCTCTGCTGGTCCTTCCAAACTTGAGGGGCCCTGAAATTGAACCTTGACCTTCTGCAAGCATAGCATGCACTCACCTGCCGAGCTAGGGTCCCCTCCCATAGAGTTTGATTGGCAGGGACCCCAAGACATCCCATGATATTACAGTCATCAGCGAGAGAGCAGTATATGCGAACGCTCCTCCAGAGTATAATTTGGGGGCAAGAGTGGTGGAAGCTGTTTCAGGTGTTTGCACAATCACTTTGCCCATCCAGAAGCGGGATAGGATGGAGATGAGGGAGAGGTTGGTGGTGGGTGCAAGCAAGGCCTGTCTAGGAAAGGGATGTAGCTCCGTGGTAGAGTATCTGGATGGCATGGAGAAAGATCTACGTAGGGCTAGGAGAGAGCCCTGCCTGAAATCCTGGAGAGCAACTGCTGGCCAGTGCAGACAACACAGAGCAAAACACATCACTGGTCTGACTCTGTACCTGGGATCTCAAACGCCTTGGCTCCTGAACAAATCGGCTCCCAAACGATCGAAACCCGGAAGTGAGTGTTCCGGTTTTCGAACGTTCTTTTGGAAGCCAAACATCCGACGGGGCTTCTGCAGCTTCCGATTGGCTGCAGGAGCTTCCTGTAGCCAATCCGAAGCCGCGCTTTGGTTTCCAATCGTTCTGGAAGTCGAACGGACTTCTGGAACGGATTCCATTCACCTTCTAAGGTACGACTGTATAAGGAAGCTTCGTATGTTCCTACTCAATTATGCTAAAGTCACTTTAGATGAAGCAGCCTTCCACACCATATATTTAAAGCAGTATCATTTTGCTTTAGGCAGCCATGGCTTCCCCCGAAGGATTCTGGGATTTGTAGTCCGCTAAGGGCGCAGATAGTTGTTTGGAGACTTCGATTCCCCTCCCAGAGCTACAGTTTTCAGAGCGGTTCAACTGTCAATCCTTCTTCACAAGGAACTCTGGGAACTGTAGCTCTTGGGGCCTCCTTAAACTACAGCTCCCAGGGTTCTTTGAGAGAAGCCGTGTGCGTTTAAAGTGGTTATGATACTGCGTTTAAATGTGTGGCGTAAATGTGGCCTCCAGTTGCTTTGCACACCAAAAGTTGAGGAAGGTCTGACACAGGGAATTCAGAACGAGAAACAAGATTTCACACCTGGCTGCCTTTTTTTCTGTTTCCCCTTCAGGGTCTCGGCTCCCGTGCTGAGATGACCCCTCCGCACCCCTCGCGCCCGCACCGCCATGGACGCCCCCTCTAACTCTGCCTCCTCCTCCTCCTCCTGCCCCGCTGCTGCCCCCCCGGCTGACGGGCAGGATGACAGGGCCGCGCCTCGGCCCGCTCAGGACTCTCCTGCCTCTCCAGCCACCAAAGAACCCCCCCTCTCGGACCCTTCCTCCTCTTCCTCCTCTGATGCCCCCTCTCCCAACGACACCATGAGGCCCTGCTCCGGTTCCCAAGCGGTGCTCGGCTCCGCGAAGCTCCCGGCCGCCATCTTGCCCGGGCCTCTCCTCCAAGCCGACTGCGGCCTCGTGACGCCAAACCCACCGCCTTCCCCGCAAGTGGCGCCACCCGGAGAAGATGGGAAGAAGCAAGAAGCAGAAGGCGGCAGAGAGGGGGAAGAGGATGGCGGGCACAAGGCCCCGCTCTTCTTCTCCGCCGAGGGCTCGGCCTATCTCCTCAGCGGCGGCCACGTTCTCTTACCAAAGGGCTCCCTAAGCACCACATCTCCCCAGGTGTCCGTCCTCCACGTCCAGCGCGGTGGAGGCCCAAACCAAGGCTTTACGTCTACTGACCAAATGTCCCAGAATACCTCAGCGCCAGGCGAGTGGACCCCTCACGGCGCCTTCTACAGTTTCCGACTGGCCAGGGCCCCCCCTCGAACCATGTCTGCCAAAAACGCTCCCACCAAACCCAAAGATGCCCCTGCCGCCGCCCTGGCGGAGGACGAGGAGAACCTCAAAGGGGAAGCTGACCTTGGCCGAGAAGGGGAGCTGCCGTCCCCACCCATCTGGCTTTGCCTGATCTGCCGCCTCTCCTTCTGCCGGGGGCGCCCCTTGGCGGCTCATGCCCGCGTAGCCCACGGGGCGCAGCTGAGCCCCGACGAATGCCAGGCCCTGTCTGGAGGGGCTTCTGCCGTGTTCCAAGGCACCGCGCTTGGCTTCCTCGAACCAAATAAGCCCACCACCAAGGCAGACCTCAATGTCCGAATGTGTAGCAGATGGGTGAATGTAACGGAGGAGGAGGAGGAGGAGGAAGAGAAGAAGAAAAAGAAAAAGAAGGGGAGCCCAGGAAAACCATGCGAGCCACCAGATGCCAAAGAGTCAAGGATCGGCGGCGAGCCCTGGGCAAAGGGAGGCGCGGAGGAGAAACCAGAAGAGGAAAAGGAGGAGGAAGAGGAGGAGGAGGCAGCAGCAGTGGCGGCCGAAAATCAGAAAGAGGAAGGAAGGCTTCTCCCAGACCAAAGCTCACACGGCCAAAGCCCACCCACGGGTGCCAGCACCCCTCTCTCAGAGACGCCACTGAAGAAGGCCAACAGCAACGACGCTGCAGCTGACGTAGGGTTGCCCAAGGAAGACGCCAACGCGGAGTTGGCCAACGAAGCCTCCAGTGCAGAGCTGGCCAGAGACACCGCTCGCGCCGAGTCAGCCGGCGGGACGAACAGCTCCGGGTTGGGCACCAAAGTGAACAACGACAGCCCAGCCAACACCAACCCGGACGCCGGTCGGGTTGGGTTGACCCACGACGCTGGCGCAGCCGACGTGACGCATGGAACCGTCAGTGTTGGGATGGCCAGCGAGATGGTGAGCGCCACGTTTGAGGTCAACAACGGGCTGAGCGGTAGTAGCAGCAGCAGCAGCCACAACGGAGGGCACTCGCTTTCCTTTGGGGAAGACTTCACCGCCATGGCCTACTCGGGGTTGACTTTGTCCGGCCACATGTCCTTGCTGCACTCGCGCAACTCCTGCAAGACCCTCAAATGCCCCAAGTGCAACTGGCATTACAAGTACCAGCAGACCTTAGACGTCCACATGAAGGAGAAGCACCCCGAGAACAACAGCCACTGCGCTTACTGCAGCACCGGCGGGCCGCACCCTCGCCTGGCCCGGGGCGAGAGCTACAACTGCGGCTACAAGCCCTACCGCTGCGAGGCCTGCAACTACTCCACCACCACCAAGGGCAACCTCAGCATCCACATGCAGTCCGACAAACACCTGGCCAACCTGCAGGGCTACCAGGCCACGGGGGGAGGCGGCGGGGCCCCCTCGGTGGCGGCCCCGGTGGCCCCGACCCCGTCGTCGCCCGAGGAGAAGGAGTCGAAAGGCAAATCCTCCTGGCAGTGCAAAGTGTGCAGCTACGAAACCAACATCTCCCGCAACTTGCGTATCCACATGACCTCCGAGAAGCACATGCAAAACATGCTCTTGCTCCACCAGGGGCTGCCCCTGGCACTGCCCGGTCTCCTGGGGCAGGCCCAAGCCACGCCAGGGGGCAAGGGGCAGCCGGAGCTCTTCCAGTTCTATGGCGCTCAGGCCCTGGGTCACTCGCACCATGCACACCCCCACCACGCTCACGCCGCGGGCAGCTCAGCCCTGCGGGGGGACAAGCCCATGGAGCAAAGCCAGATCTTGCTCAACGGAGGCTTCCCACACCTCAACGCTGCCGCTGGCAGGAAGATGGCTGCCTTGGGCTCAGGTAAGCAATGGTCGCCTCCCCTCCCCAATCATGGCCACCGCTGCTTCTGTCCACGTGGGATCTAAAGGCTGGGTGGGAGCCTCAATTGATAATGAACAGGTCTCTTGTGTCGTTTGTTCTCTCCCTTCCCTTATGGACCACATTCCCACAATACATTTAAAGCCCTGTGAACAGTCATGGCTTCCCACAAAGAATCCTGGGAGATGTAGTTTGTTAAGGGTTCTGAGAGCTGTTAAGAGACCCCTTATTCCTTCCGCAGATCTACACCTCCAAGGGCTGTGACTGTTTGAAGGGGTATCAAAGAGCTTTAAATGTGCTGTGTGAACGTGGCCACAGTCTCTACTCTTGTTTTGTTTTTTGGTCTTTGCAGTTTTTCTTTCTGCTCCTTTCTGTTTTGCTCCTCTCACTCGCTATCTCCCCAGCTTCGGTGTATTGCCATTATGTAGTTTGTGTTATTCATATTGCATTTTTGTGTTGCGAACTGCCTTGAGATCTACTGATGGAGGGCTGCATGCGAATTTAATCAATAATAATAATAATTAATAATAATTTGGGACGCAGGTGGCACTGTGGGTTAAACTAGAGAGCCTAGGGCTTGCCGATCAGAAGGTTGGTGGTTCAAATCCCTGCGACGGGGTGAGCTCCCGTTGCTCGGTCCCTGCTCCTGCCAACCTAGCAGTTCGAAAGCACCTCAAAGTGCAAGTAGATAAATAGGTACCGCTCCGGCGGGAAGGTAAACAGTGTTTCCGTGCACTGCTCTGGTTCGCCAGAAGCGGCATAGTCATGCTGGCCACATGACCCGGAAGCTGTACGCCGGCTCCCTCGGCCTATAGAGCGAGATGAGCGCTGCAACCCCAGAGTCGTCCGCGACTAGACCGAATAGTCAGGGGTCCCTTTACCTAATAATAATAGTAATAATAATAATAATAATGTTTTGAAGTGTCTCTCCCTCTCCGTCCATAGGCAGTCATTCTGCCGCCCTTCTCCCCACAGCTCCTGCATCGCTCTCTCCAGAGCCTGCCCCGCCTTCCCCGCTGCCGCCCCACTCTGCGCCAGACCTGGGGGCTCCCCAGAGGCTGTTTGGGTGCCTGGTGTGCCAAGCCTTCAACACGGACAGCCTGGAAGCGCTCCTGAGGCATGCGTCGGCCCCCCGCTCGCTGCCCGAGGCCGAGTGGAAGGAGGTGTCGGGCGACTTGCACCGCTGCCGGCTCTGCGCCTACGGCACCCAACTGAAGGCCAACTTCCAACTGCACCTCAAGACCGACAAGCACGCCCTCAAGTACCAGCTGGCGGCCCACCTGCGCGAAGGGGGCAGCCTCGGGGCCCACATGGGGGCGGAGCTTCCACTCGGCCCGCCCCTCCACCTGCACTGCAATCTCTGCGAATACGAGACCAACAGCAAGGAGAAGATGAGGCTGCACGTGGCGGGGGCTGGCCACCAGGAGGCGCTGCAAGGCTACAAGGTGCCGGGGTCTGAGGGGAGTGGACGGGGCTTGTGGATGACACGGGGAGCGGCCTTCCTCCAACTCCCGCCAAAACGGGGGTGGAGCTAAGCTGTCCTTTTCAGGGCGTTCCTAACAGGAAGTGGGTGGAGCCAAGCAGAAAGGGGGTGGAGCCACCGGAACGGGAGGGGCTTTAGAGGAATGGAGGCACGCCATAAGGGAAAGAGGGAAAGGGTAGGCGTGAGAAGGGACAGGTGCGATCCACCTGGAACGTTGAACGGATCCCATGTCCTTGCTATCTGCAATTCTTTCCTTCTCTCCCGCTAGTTCCTCCTGGAAATGGAGGCCACATCAGCAGCGCCGCCAGGCCCCGAACCTGCCCCATTCCGCTGCCTCCTTTGCAACACGGACGCGCCGAACCGCCTGGCCATGATCCAGCACCTGCGCTCTCCCCAGCACCGCGACTCCCATGGCCAGTGGCGCCTGCAGCTCCTCCAGAACGGAGAAGGCACCCCGGGCCTCGAGAGATACATCTGCTTTGCTCCCGCCAACCCCGCTGGTAACGGCCCTGCAGGTTGGCCATGGCGGGCACCCCGTGCCGCCGGAGAGGGTGGCAAACCCGCAGAAGGTGCCAGGCTGCAGATTTGCGCTGAATGAAGGGCATAAATGGTGGATGGTGGGGAATAGCAGCAATAGTAGTAGGGGCTGAATTTTGAGGAGAAGAAACAGCAATTCTTGCAAATGTTCAAAGTGGCAAGGCTGTGGGAGGTTTTTTTTTGGGGGGGGGAGAACTGAAGGTCGGATACCAAATACTCTTTCATTCCTCCATTGTCTGCCCGCCTTCTCCCCCCCTTCTCTCTTTCACACCCCCTTTGCTTCGCCACGTCTTCCCCTTTTGCTCTGCGTTTAATGCATGCCTGTGTCCGCAGATATTCAAGCGAGAAGCTGCTGAACGCTCCAGCCTCCTCTTCTTCCACCGCCGCCAACCTCCCTCTCCTTCTCTCCCTCCCCCTCCCCCCCCCAGCTTCATAATGGATTATGACAGATACTGGGGTGGTTGCCTAGCAACTCGCAGGAAGAATGAAGGAGAGGAGAAATGAGAAAGAGAGATGTAGGGACCGCAGCTGGGCGGGGGGGGGGGGGAGGGAGAGGAAGAGAGGGAAAAGGGAAGAGAGAAAGAAATAGGGAGGAAGGATAGAGATCGCCTTTCCTCCCTTCCTCCCCCTTCTCCTCCTAGCTGGTAGCTGCCCTCATCCACCTCCCGTCAGGTGCCCAGGGCGGGCACCCCCCCCCCACGTGATGCGAGTTGGCCTCGTTCCCAGCTTCAAATTTATCTTTCAAAACATTGTTGACCCTGCAAATGTTCTGCCTCCCCCTAACGCACACCTGAGAGCGTGCAGAAGTGTCAACAAGGATCAGCTGCATAAAATGCAGTGTGGGAAGGGGAGCTGTGTGAGTCGTGGGGAGGCTAATGAGGGGATCCAGTCCTGAGGACAGACTCCAAGCCAAAAGATGGGAATGGGTGGGTTTGGCTGGGTGGGTAAATCAGTCCTGGATAAGGGGATCATTTTTAAATTTTTGAGCAGGGACCTTAGTGGAAGCGAAAGCATAGGATGCGGGTGTCCGGGGTGGGTCGCTGCTTATGTGGGGAAGGCATATGGGGAGATTCGAGGCAGTTAGGACAAGGCAATAGGAAAAGTGTGCACCGGGAAAGGGGGGTCGGTTTGCCGGATGAGAACACCCTGCGTTGTGAGAAATGGAGGTCTTAACATCTTGGCGGGTGTATTGAATAGTGTTAATTGAGTTGCCAATGGCAGTGAGGTTGCTACTGCCGGGCGGGAAGGCAAGTCCGTTCGATATTAACGATCCCACTTGGGTTGAGAGTTTAATTAGTCTCTGACGAGGATAAAGTCCTGGATCGTGCGTCATGCCGGCTCTCGCAGCGTCGGCGGCGGAATTCCCTCCTCTCTCGTCTCCCTCTCCCCCCACCCTACCCCCCAAGTTTCCCACCTTCCAAACTCCCAGGTGAAAGAGGAGGAGCAGGAATATCAGCCAGGCTATCTGGGTGGTGGAGGTCTCTGGAAGTTGGGCCACAGCTCCCATCATCCCTGACCGTAGGCCATGCTGGCTGGGGGCTGGTGGAGCCCAATAGCATCTGGAAAGCCCACCCCCCATTTCACTTCTCCCTCCACCCCACACCCACGTATGGTTCTCTCCCCGTCTCCAGGGAAAGAAACACTGCCAGAGAACTTGCCCCCCGAAAAGGAAACGCAGAGTAAAGCCCAGGCGGCTGGTGAGTGACTCCTCCCCTCTTGTGCAAAGCCACGCCCACTGGTGAGGTTGCTGCTCCTTGAAGCCACGCCTACATTGCTGGCCACGCCCCTAGCCCCTCCCTCGTGGTGGCAGCCCGTGCGAAAGGCTCCTCCCATTCAGGGATGCCAAACACCCCAAATGTTTGAGCCCCTCTTGATTTCTCCAGCGCCACCCTCCCTTCAAGAGGCGGTGTTCTGTTGAAAAGCACAGCTATCCTCAACCAGGGGGCTGGAGCGCCAGGAATAGGAGGAAAAGACCCTGCAATGCCTTCCCTCGGTTTTGAGTGTTGTCTTAAGTGCAGAGTCCCATTTTGCCACCGCGACTGCTGCAAAAGGAATAATACCAGGGGTATTTGTGGGCGAGTCCCAGCAAGTCTGGCTCCTCGCTTCCGTGAGGCTGGCTGTTTTTATTATCCTTATTAAATTTATTACCTGCCCTTCTCCAGTTGGTCCCAGGGCGGGTTATGGCGATTTTAAAAAATTCAGCATTTCAAATATCTTGCGCTTGCAGAAATAGGGATGGTTGCACTGGGGGGTCGGCGGCTGCCAAGGCATCCTTTTCAGGGTGCCTGATTCAATGCCCCCCCCCACTCAGCTGTCCCCACTGCAGTGGGCAGGGGGTCCTTGTCTGGTACCACCCCCAAGAGCCCCTCTCTCGCCCCACCCCTCCATCAGGCCTCAAAGCCCCTTGGAGCTTTTAACCGCCATTTTGAAAGTGTCTGCAGGAAAACACCATAACATTCCCCCCCCCCTTTCTTTCCTTCCCGCAGGTTCTGACGAGACTGAAACGAAAGCTGGAGGTGTGGGAGACACTACAGTGAGTGGCGCTTATTGGGGGGCTTTGCGGGGGGGGCAGAGGTGGGGGAATCACACAGTGTCTCTGAAGCCCCTGCCGCCTCCATTTTAACCCTCTCTCTACACGATTCAATGGTGGCAGCCTCAAACATCCCAGTGAAACTTGGCAGATTAGATTTTTTTTTTTGCTTGCTTGTTCCTGGTGGGGGGCCAAATGGTTGAATTAAAAACAGAAATTCAGCATCTCTGCCTAGCAGGTGGGGGGGGGATGAGATCCACCCTGATGAAACAAATTGGGCATGACCAGCTGTGAAATACACAATGTTAACCGTACCACTGCATCTTCAAAGCCTGTTTCTTGAATGGGAATGTCTACTTATACTGGTCCCATCCTATTACTCTCTGTCTGTTCTGACGCCAACCTTTGCCCAGCCCAGAAAGGCCTGTGATTCTCAAGATGAAAACGTTGGCAAGGCTGTGCAGACGGGATCAGATCGGTCCTTGCAACAAGCCCTTCGATGTTAACTAGCGTTGGGTTTATTATGCCCGTTTTACAGCTGCCCCCCACTGAGCACACGGGCGTGGACCTGGCGGTCCAGGAAAGCAACAGAACCTCTCATTTTCACTCAACCCTTGACCAGCCTTGTGCTATCGGCAGATACCAATCAGCCCTTAGGTGAAATCCTGACACAGACACTTTCATGTCTCTCTTTGATCCTTCAGCCTAAGGCCTTTAAGCCACACACATTCCCCGGTCTGCCGCTTGGGGCACTAGCTTGTTTGCGTGTAAGAAAAGGCAATATTTTGGGGTGTGGGGAGGGGAGAGAGTTTATTTATTTTCTTCCGAAGATGGCCCAGAACCAAGATGAGCAGGTGGGAGCAAGCATGTGCCAGCTCCATCTTTTTAATGATTACTTTGTGATTTCCCTATTAAAACTTTTTGTTCTCTTTCGTTCTGCCTACACCGCCACGCCTCCTCCCTCAAATCCTCAATAAAATATATATGCAAATCCCCCTTTCCCCCCAGGTGCCAGGAAGAGACAGCCTCCTGCTTCCTGGAGCTAACCTTTTCTTTTCTCGGACCTCCATCTCTCTCCCCCCCCCTTCTTCTTGCCAAACAGGTGTTCTGCTGCCCCTACTGCAATTACACCGACCAATCAGCCGAAGCCGTCCGGGCTCACACCATCTCCCAGCATGCCGTGCAGCCCAAATTCCGATGCCCGCTCTGCCAGGAGCAGCTGGTCGGGCGCACCAACCTCCACTTCCACCTCAGCCACATTCACAACGTGGTGCCCGAATGTGTGGAGAAGCTGCTTCTGGTGGTGAGTTGTTGACTCAGTGGGCACCTCTCCCTGCCCCTCTTCCCTGCCCCGCTTAATGTTGGAACCATATTAAGGGTGGAGGGGATACAATCGCAGAAACTGCTTTTTCACATGCCACTAACCCTTTGCAGGTAATTCAACAGGTGAAGCTTTTCCTTCTCTGGAAAGCTTGACCTGTTGGGTCTGTGCCCGTCACGCTGCTGTCAAAGAGGTGGGGACTGTGCTTGACAACAGGGGCTGGGGAAGATGTGGGGACCCAGTGGTGAGGACAACAGGGGGTTATTGTGTTCTTGTTTTTATTTCGATTACAGTGGTACCTTGGTTCTCAGACTTAATCCGTTCCGGAAGCCTGTTCCAAAACCAAAGCGTTCCAAACCAAGGCGCACTTTCTCAAAGAAAGTAACGTAAAATGGATTAATACGTTCTAAACTTTTAAAAACAACCCCTGAAACAGCCATTTAACATGAATTTTACTATCTAACGAGACCACTGAGCCATAAAATGAAAGCAATAATCAATGTACTGTACTATAAAATAAATAAGACAGTATTGTAGATGATAAAAAATATATATTTTTTCTTACCTCTACTGATGATAGTCATTGTTTGGATGGGGGGCTTTTATCCATTTCCTCAGTCACACAATCAATCCATCAGTAGCTGAACTGTCACAAAAACAAATTAACCAAAATAGCCTCAAAAACAAAAACCACAAAATAAATAGCAAAAACAAAAGCGCCAAACTTAATCCGTTCTGGAAGTCCATTTGATTTCCAAAATGTTCAAAAACCAAGGCGCGGCTTCTGATTAGTGCAGGCGCCCAGGCAACAACAGCCGACAGCCACACTGGATGTTTGGCTTCCGAAAAACGTTTGAAAACCAAAACACTTCCGGTTTTTCAGAGTTTGGGAACCAAGGCGTTTGAGTACCACCACCCTGAGCCCGGCTTCTGCTGGGGATGGCGGACTATAAATAAAAATTTATTATTATTATTATTATTATTATTATTATTACCAATGCGTTTGAGAATCAAGGTGCCACGGTATATATCTTGAGGTTTTATATTTTGATTTTGTTCTATGAACCAACCTGAGACCTCCAGGTATAGGGTGGTACAGTGGTACCTCGGGTTACATACACTTCAGAACAAATTAAGTACTTAACCCCGAGGTACCACTGTATATAAATTCTAATCATCACCATCATCATCATCCAGAGAGCCAAGTGGGGGCGTCATTAGGAGGGAGGTGTTTGTGGCCCCACCAACTGGTGAGCTTTAGCCTATTTCCACCATTCGTAAAATGGCCGCAGCAGCATTTTTAAAATACTTTATAAATTGGGGAGTGGGGAACCTGCGGCCCCCAGTTCTGCATCCGTGCTCCAAATGATCACTAATAACTGGCTCCTCTCTTCCCCATCCTGCCTTTGGCTCATATAATTCTGCCTTTTCTTCTTCTTGACCTTCTCTCCAGGCCACTACTGTGGAAATGACCTTTGCCACCAAAGTTATCCCTGGCCTCAACCTCCCTCCTGACCCAGTAAAGCCAGGTGGGACGCCCAGCTCAGAGCAGGGGTCTGGGAACGAACCTGAAAGCCCTCTTGCTGGTAAGTAGCGTGTGGACTGCAAAGAGAGGGGCTTTCACCTTTCACCTGCTAAGGGTAGCATCAAGATGCCAGGGATTTCGTGGCAACCGGGACGCCTAACCTCCCCTTCCTGGCAACCCTTGCCAAAAAACCAAAAAATTAAGCAGGAAGAGGCAGTTACTGGCAGGACGAATCAAGGGCTTTGTCGTGCCTATTCTCAAGCTTCTCTGTCTGGAGAGCATGAGGACTAGAAACCTGCTTCCTGGGAAACTCATAAGGCTTCTTAGGATGCCACAAGCGTTTGTATTGGTTTGAGAAGCAGTACAAACGCAATCCAATGGTGCACTGACAGAAGCAAAGCATATTAAGTAACACAAGTCCCTCTTGTAGGGCAGGGGCTGTAAACTCCCCAAATATTTAGCCCTCCTAGATATCAGAAATTGGGAATGAGGTCAAGGCAGTACTTGTCCTGCTTCATTTGAACACACACCCTACAAAAATCCAAGCAGCTAATTTACACAGATCTACATTTACAGATGAGGCAGGAAGCGTCAAGGTATGAAAAGCGTCATGGATAAAAAGACTAATTCCCCCCCAGGCAGTGAGGCCTGCATTTTGCCAGGAAACACACCTGCTCTCAGCAGGTGCCCCTGGGGATTCCCAGCCGTTTTTGGACAAACTCTCTAGCAAACACCTAGAACTGTGGGGTTGGTAAAGACAGACCAAGCACCATAGAATCAAGGGACTGTAGAGTTGGGTCTCTTCCACAGACAGGGCCACAGTGACTGTGATGTCAGCCTCCCTGCCCCTGGAGATGCCTGCGGTTCCGGGGGGAGGATGAGGAAAGGGATCACAACGATCACCTAGTCCAACTCTCTGCAATGCGGGAGTCTTTTGCCCAACATGGGGCTCGAACCCAAGACCCTGAAATTAAGAGTCTCGTGCTAGTTGCTGTGCTATTTGCGATCGACTGTGGCAAGCTATACTTCTGCACCTAGAACCTCCATGCACACACACAAATACATCCTGGCTAAGGAACGACAAAACGATGCCTTATGAGGAACGGCTAAGGGAGCTGGGCATGTTTAGCCTGGAGAAGAGGAGGTTAAGGGGTGATATGATAGCCATGTTCAAATATATAAAAGGATGTCACATAGAGGAGGGAGAAAGGTTGTTTTCTGCTGCTCCAGCTAAGCGGACACGGAGCAATGGATCCAAACTACAAGAAAGAAGATTCCACCTAAACATTAGGAAGAACTTCCTGACAGTAAGAGCTGTTCGACAGTGGAATTTGCTGCCAAGGAGTGTGGTGGAGTCTCCTTCTTTGGAGGTCTTTAAGCAGAGGCTTGACAACCATATGTCAGGAGTGCTCTGATGGTGTTTCCTGCTTGGCAGGGGGTTGGACTTGATGGCCCTTGTGGTCTCTTCCAACTCTATGATTCTATGATTCTATGAAAACAGGCTGTGGGGGAAACTGATGGTAGCTTCTCTATCTCTCCTTTTTCTTTCTTTCTCCTACATCAGCACCACCCACAGGGGAGAAATCCTCTCCGGCTCCTGTGCTTTGCCCTGAAACTCCTCCTCCTCCAGCCTCCCCTGCTCCACCTGCTGACCCCCCAGAAAAGCCACCCCCAACCTCTTCTCCACCTCCTCCTCCACTGCCGCCGCTGCCACCGCCACCACCACCTCCTCCTTCAGTTGCTCCTCTGGAGTTTGAAGACGAAGATGCTCCACATCCGAACGCTCCGTTGGAGGAGGCGCCACCACCACCGCCACAGGCTTCAGCCGAGGCTCCTGAGGCCTCTCCGCTCGCCCTGCCCAGCCAAGACCCCCGTCACCCGCTGTCCTACCGCAAGGCGACCAATTTCGCCTTGGATAAGTTCCTCGACCCGGCCCGCCCCTACAAGTGCACGGTGTGCAAGGAGTCCTTCACGCAGAAAAACATCCTCTTGGTGCACTACAACTCCGTCTCCCACCTGCACAAGATGAAGAAGGCCTCGGCCGACCCCTCCGCGCCGTCCCGGGGCGAGCCCGGCGCCGCCGGCGTTCTCCAGCCCTCCTCGGACAAGCCCTACAAGTGCACCACCTGCCGGGTCTCCTACAACCAGAGCTCCACGCTGGAGATCCACATGCGCTCCGTCCTGCACCAGACCCGCTCCCGCGTCGCCAAGATGGAAGCCGCCGGCAAAGCAGAGCTGCCGGCCGCCGAGCCGGATCCCCCGTGCGAAGCGCCGCTGGAAGCGGAAGCCCCCAAGCTCCTGGAGGCGGGCTGCGTGCAGGTGCCCACGCTCCCGTTCCTGGCGCCGTCCGCGGCAGAGCTGCAGCGCTTCCCTGCGCCCTTGTTCACTCCGCCGCTGCTGCCGCCCTTCCCGCTGGTCCCAGAGTCGCTCCTGAAACTCCAGCAGCAACAGCAGCTGCTGCTCCCCTTCTACCTGCACGACCTCAAGGTGGCCCCCAAGCTGGCTTTGGCCACCCCAGCACTGACCCTCCCGGCCACGCCACCCGTGCTGCTGCCACCTCTGCCAGCCAAGGAAGAGCAGGCGCCGGCAGCCGCTGCTGGCTCCAAACCAGAGGCGCCGGAAGAGACCGAAGCTGAGGAGGCCGAGGGAGGCCAGCAAGGGAGCGAGGCATCCCGCACGGCTGCCAAAGCCCTCCTGGAGAACTTTGGGTTTGAGCTGGTGATCCAGTACAACGAGGGGAAGCAGCCTGCCGCCCCCGCCCCGGCTGCACCTCCGCGCCCGCCGGCGGGCAAGCTCTTGTGCGGCGCATGCGGGAAGCAGTTCTCCAACATGCTCATTCTGAAGACGCACGAGGAGCATGTGCACCGGCGGTTCCTGCCCTTCGAGGCGCTCAACCGCTACGCTGCCCAGTTCCGGAAGAGCTATGACAGCATGTATCCCCCTCCGCCGCCGGCACTGCCCATCGAGACGGCCACTGCCACGACGACTGCCCCAACTACTGCCGCTGCCACAGACACCACCACAGTGACCGTGCCAGCCGCCCTGCCCCTGGAGATCCCCCCGCTCTGCCCTCCGTTTTTAATGCAGCCCATGCCAGTGGTGGTGCCGCCGCTAGAGAGCGAGACCCCCCACGTGCCTCCCGAGCGCTTGAAATCCTTGTGGTTCCGGGGGGAGGAAGAGGAAAGCGGCAGTGGGCCCGGGGTTCCTGAGCCTCTTCGCGGGGGCTTCCCGTCCACCCGGCGCTTCTCCCGCACCAAGTTCACAGAGTTCCAGTCTCAAGCCCTACAGTCTTTCTTCGAGTGCAGCGCCTACCCCAAAGACGGCGAGGTGGAGCGGCTGTCTGCAATGCTGGGGTTGCCCAACAGAGTCATCGTGGTTTGGTTCCAAAACGCCCGCCAGAAAGCGCGGAAATGCGGCGGGAGCGAGGCTAGCGTGGGGGTCGGAGGTGCCGCGGTGCAGCCCTCCTGCAAGAAATGCCGGGCGTCCTTCCGCTGTATCTTTGAGCTCATGCGCCACCTTAAAAAGTGCTACAACGACCAGCCGGTGGATGCGGAGGGAGAGGGGGCTGAGGAGGAGAACGAGGGCCCTGAGGAAGAGGAGCAGGAGGAGGAGGAAGAAGAAGAGCAGCAGCAGCCGCAGCAACAGCAGCCGCCCGAGCCTTCAGGGGCTGACGGAGAAGCCAAGATTGACAGCACTGGAGATAAACCTCAGGAGGAGGAACAACCCACGGCCCCTCCCGAAAGTGCAAGCACCCATTCCTGTGACCACTGCACAGCCAAATTCTCAAGCGTCGACCTCCTCAATATCCACCGTGTTTCTCACATGCCAGCAACCGGCCCTCCGCCAGCCCCAGTTGCCCCCCAGCCTCCCCTGGATTTGGCCCCGCTGGTGTTTGGTGACCGCGCCGCCCACCCAGACCCCTCCCGGGCACAGAAGCGGAAGCACGAGGACGGGAGCTTGTCACCCACCGGCAGCGAGTGCGCCAGCGTGGCGGGAGGGGACAGCGAGCCCCCCCGGGACAAGCGCCTGCGCACCACCATTTTGCCGGAGCAGCTGGAGATCCTGTACCGCTGGTACATGCAGGACTCCAACCCGACCCGCAAGATGCTCGACTGCATCTCCGAAGAGGTTGGACTCAAGAAGAGGGTGGTTCAAGTGTGGTTCCAGAACACGAGAGCCCGCGAGAGGAAGGGTCAGTTTCGGTGCAACGCCAGCACGGCCAACGCAACCGGCAAGCCCTCACCGGTGCTCCCCTCCGCCTTCCCAAAGTTCAGTCCTCTGCCGCGAGACCCGACCATCCACTACGGAGCGGCCTTTGCGCCCAGCCTCTCTGCGGTGAGTTTACAGCTACCTCCAGCAAAGCCAGAGATTCCTGCGGAGCCACAAGCGCAGGAAGAAGCAGCCGAAGAAGAATTGCAAAAAGAGAACGAAGACCGGAGCCTGTCGGGAGGGGAGATGAGCGACTCGTCTTCCTCCTCCTCCTCGTCGCTGGCCGATCTGGATTTCTCTGGCAGCCGGCGGAGCCGAGGGGCAGACGGCGGCTTTGGAGGCATGCACGACGCTTTGGGCCAGCGGCGGTATCGCACGCAGATGTCCAGCCTGCAGCTGAAGATCATGAAGGTTTGCTACGAGGCCTACCGGACACCCACCATGCAAGAGTGCGAGGTGCTGGGCGAGGAAATAGGGCTGCCCAAGCGGGTGATCCAAGTGTGGTTCCAGAACGCCAGGGCCAAGGAGAAGAAGGCCAAGGCTGCCAGCGGTGGCGAGGAGGGGCATCCCAGCACTCCATCGCAGGCCGAGTGCCCCTACTGCGAAGTCAAGTACGATTTCTACGTGTCCTGCCGTGGGCACCTCTTCTCCCGTGGGCACCTCGCCCGACTCAAGGAGGCCATCAAGGCCCAGCTCAAGAGCGAGAGCAAGTGCTATGAGCTCGTGCCGGACAAAGGGACGCCATCTCCCACCAGGCTGGGTGCCTCCATGCCTCCCGCCACAGTGCCATCTTCCCTTGGAAGCATGGCTCCCTTTGCGCCAGGTGAGTGAGAGGTGGGAAGGAAAGGTAAGTTACGTTCAAGGAGGTTGGGGATAGGGCCTCGTCTTTAAGCCGTGTTACAGGTTCGCCACTCACTATGGGATCTTTCCAGTCCAATATCTGCTCAGCTTCTCTCCACAAGTATCGCTAGGTCTCCACATGCTGCTCTGACCCTAATCCCCACTTTGCGTGGAACTGGCGTCATTTTCATCCCAAGTAGTTGCTCTGTGTAGCATTCTGGTTCTCCACACAATCTTTCTCTTCTCCCAACTTTTTCCCCCTTTTCTTCCCACTAGCATAGCCTTTCCTTCCCCCTGTCCCGTCCCTGAGGCTTCCATTGTGCACGTCGGGAGTAGGTTGAGGTGAAAATGGCGCCGAAATCTCCTCCTCTTCCCCCTGCATCTGGGGTGGTTCATTGAGAGTGGTAGTTGGTGTCTTGTTACCAGAATGAGAGGGCGTCCATCTCAGCAACCAGTGGAAGCAGATGTTGGGTTGTGGAATTGTAGAAATGTAGAGGATCATCTAGTCCAACCCCCTGCAAGACCCAACGTGGGACTCGAACCCCTAATAAATAACAATAATAACAAATTTATTATTTATACCCCGCCCATCTGGATGGGTTTACCCAGCCACTCTGGGTAGCTTCCAACAAAATATTTAAAATACATTAAAACATCAGTCATTAAAAACTTCCCTAAATAGGGCTGCCTTCAGATGTTTTCTAAAAGTCAGATGGTTGTTTATTTCCTTGACATCTGATGGGAGGGCATTCTATAGGGCGGGCGCCACTACCAAGAAGGCCCTCTGCCTGGTTCCCTGCAACCTCACTTCTCGCAGGGAGGGAACTACCAGAAGGCCCTCAGAGCTGGACCTCAGTGTCCGGACTCAACAATGGGGGTGGAGACCATAGCTGTCAATGTTTCCCTTTTATTAAGGGAAATTCCCCTATTCTGAATAGGATTTCCCTTAAAAAAAGGGAAAAGTTGACAGCTATGGTGGAGACGCTCCTTCAGGTATACTGGGCCGAGGTCGTTTAGGGCTTTCAAGGTCAGCACCAACACTTTGAATTGTGCTCGGAAACGTACTGGGAGCCAGTGTAGGTCTTTCAAGAGATTAACCCTGAGATTAAGAGTTTCATGCTCCCCGCCTGAGCTATCCCAGGAGGGTTGGGCTGGGCTTTCCCGTCGTCCTGCAAAGACTCTGGCCCTAAGGCTTTGAAGCAGGGAGCCAGTGGAGGAAACAGGTGGAGGCAGCACACAACTCACACCTCTTTTCTCTCCCAACAGGCCCTTCCTCTTCCTCCTCCGGGGCCCTGAGCACCCCTTTGGCCTCCACGCAGCCGGGGCCCCCCTTACCTCAGCACCTCACTCCGGAACCGGCCCAGCTTGGCCCCTCCACAGAGCCGCCGGCACCTGCTCCAGAGACTTCCCCGGGCGACGGCCAGGCAGACCCCGCCTCCAGCTCAGCCCAGGAACCCTCCGTGCCCTCCACTGCCGCGGTGAAGAACCTCAAGACGTTGAAGGCCGCCGTGCCGGCCTTGCTGGGAGGCCAGTTCCTGCCCTTCCCATTGCCGGCGGCAGCGACGGCGGCCGCCCCCTCGCTCTTTGGCGCGCAGCTGCCCGGGGCCTACTTCCAGCAGCTCTACGGCATGAAGAAGGGGCTGTTCCCCATGAACCCCGTCATACCTCAGACGCTTATGGGGCTGCTGCCCAGCCCCCTGCTCCCGACGCCCATGCCCGAGCCGCCCGTCGAGGTGCCCGAGGCCCCCGGCATCTCCACGGTTGACGTGACTCACCAGTACCTCTGCCGCCAGTGCAAGGCGGCCTTTGAGAGCGAGGGCGCCGCCGCCGCCCACCAGGCCACTTTCTGCTACTTTGGGCGCCAGCCCCCCGCGGCCCCGCCCCCGCTGCGGGTGCCCGTGTGCACCTACCACTGCCTGGCCTGCGAGGTGCTTGTGAGCGGGCGCGAGGCCCTGGGGGCCCACCTTCGCTCCAGCGCTCACCGGCGCAAGGCCGGATCCAACGCAGCAACCGCATCGGTGTTTGCCAAAGAGGAATCCAAATTACCTCACTCGGACTCCAGCCCAAAAAGTAACGCTACCTCTACGACACTACTAGCTTTATAGAGACGGATGCTACACTGCCACCGACCGAGAGAGAAGGACTAAGCAACCAACCAACTAGCCAACCAGCCGGCGGAGGGAAGGGCGCCCGCTTGGCGTGCCCTGTGCCCTCTGCCCATACCAAACGCCCATCACGCAGCCCCCACCACCAGTAAACTCAAGAAACGGCCCCCGGCCAAGGCGCCACCCAGTTGCCCAAAGGCCACGCTCTTCCCAGACCCCTGGGTAGCCATGTGGGCAAAGCTGGACCCAGATGTTCAGCCATCCCACCCCACTCCCCCAACCCCACCGCCATCTTGAGGGAAGACCAGTTGACCTGGTGTGGAGCAGAAATGCAGCCTGCCGTCTGAGGAGCCCCCCAACAGTGCCCACCTCAGAAATGCCTTGCGCTCTGCATGGAGTGCAGAAGCTGTTCTCCTCTGCCACCCACCGTGCCCCTTCCCCTCACGGCCCTGTGCACCGGCCGACGCCAGTTCCCAGGGTCTCTCCTCCCAGAAAAGGTTCCTGGATCCTGTCCGACACGGGTGCCCAACCCATCGCCTTCCCGCAGTCCCTTCACACATGCCTGTGTATTCCAGAGTCTTCCACCTCCTGTGGCATACACATGTACCTCACATGAGAGAGGCACGAGAGGCTCTCACTGTCTATGGTTCAGGTCTCGGTGTCCTCCATGTTTTCCCTCAAGGAGGGTCCCCGGGCACCTCAACAGGTGTTCCTTGGGATGCTGACCCCAGCGGAGAGGACCCCCTTCCCTCGCCCGCAAAGGCCGCCGCGCCGTCTCCTCGTGTCAACGGGAGCTTCCCAGAATCCTTTGCCCAAAGTCCTACCCCTCATGTGTGCGAGAACCACACTCCTGCCCATCCCGCCCATCTCCGCACACGCTTGTGACCGCTGCCCGGCACACCTGTCGCACGCCCTCGTGCAACCCTGGTCTCCTCCCTCTCCCTCCCTCTCTCACACACACCTGCTTAGAGCTCCTTCTCTCACTCTCTCTCACCTTCCACCCTTTTACTGTGTTATTACCGACTTGAGAAAGGCCAAAAAAAAAAAAGAAGCAAACAAAAATAATGGACGGAAAGAAAGAAAAGTTATTAACCCAAGGAAACAAAACTTAAGGGGGGGGAGGGGGGCAAAGATGAGAAACTGAGTCCCCAACCCCACACCCCCAACCCCTCCTAGAGCATGTGCTGCCCATTGTGTATAATAATTCCCGTCCTGGACGGATGGACAGACTCCCGAACTTGTTGATGGATTTTGAACGACTTGAACAGCAACCAAACTGGGGAAGAAAGGCGCCTCTCCCTCTTCTTTCCCGCCATTTTTTCCCTCCTCTCTCTCTCTCTCTCTCCTCCTCCTCCTCCTCCTCGTCCCCAGTTGGGTCTCTGCCCGCACTGAGGAACCAAATAAAACTAACAACCTCGCTGTCTTTTTCCTCCTGATAGACGTGACTTCCGTCTCCGCGCGGGAAACGACACACAAAAAAAAAAACCCTACTCCGATGGCTTTAAGAAAGAAAGAAAGAAAGAAGAAAATAATAATAATAAAATAAAACCAGAAGGATCCTCCCGTCTACACACACACAGTTACCTGCCACGTGCTGGTGTGCTGACGTCCTTGCAAAAAAGAAAAAAGGAAAAAAAAAAAAGAACACAAAAACCCTCTTTATGAATCCAAAGCTCTTTAAAAAAAAAAAAAAACTTCTATACAATAACCAAAAAGAAAACCAACAGTTTGAGAGAGAGACTACCCACCAACAAAAAGGAATAATAAAAAGCAAACTGGAAATAATTTTTTTTAAAAAGAAAAAGACATATGACGACGATGACGAAGAAGAAGAAGAAAAGTTACGCCCTCACGTTTTTCTTCCTCCTTTGTGTCCGTTCTTTTGGGGTTCCTTCTCCCGTTCTTTTCTTTCCCCCAGACCTGCTCCCCCTCCTCTTCCGACCTGCCAAGTGTTTTTTAGGCCCTCTCCCACTTAAAACAAAGATGGACAAGAATTTTAAGAAGTTGATGGAAGTGGAAACCTGTGGGGTAGAGAAGGGGGGATTACAAAAAAAAAAAGAAAGAATCCCCCACAAAAATAACCAAACGAACTACATTCGGGGCGTCCAAAGGGGGTGGGCTCCTACAGCGGCTCACCCTCCGAGACCACCCTGTTTTCCTCAGACTGCCCCCCTTCTCCCCACAACTCTGCACCCCAGAATGGGGCGAGGGGAAATGTCTTTCTGTTGTGTATTTAAAGGGGGGGATGGGGTACAATAAAAAAATTAAAAAGAAATAAAAATTATATTAAAGAGATGGCCTGGGGGGGGGAACATGCTTTTGGCAGGGTGGTGGTTGGGTGCATATATTTGTACGGGGAGAGGGAAGAGAGTAAAAGCACCGAAGAATAGACAAATATTGGATACTGATCGAAGGTCTCGCTTTTTCCTGTGAAGCAGGGAAAGTGTCTTTCATGTGCACCCAAAACAACTTTTTTAAAAATGTGAATTCCTTGATCTAGGGGTTTATTTGCACAGTGCCAATGAATGTGGGTTGTTGTTCTTATTATTTATTAAATCTATATAGCGACCTTCGTCACAAGGTCTCAGGGCAGGTTCACCGAATAAAATACAAGATAAAAACACAAGTAGATAATTAAAACCAAAGCAGTATCACCCTCCCTCCCTTATTAACAAGGGGGATGCAAGACTTAGCTGCTTCTGTTTTAGTCGGTAATTGATCATCCATATACCTTGAGAAAGCAGTGCCACAAAACGGGCGCACTAAAGATTTGACATCCTGTGGTACAGGAGGGCCACAAAAGGGTTTTCTGTTTTTTTTCTGGGTCCTCCAACACACTTGAAAAAGAGGGCACAGATTTGCATGACGTTTGTGTCTGCTTTGTGTCATTCCCGACCGGCAGAATTCGAACGCACCACTCTTCCGCCCCCAAATTGTATTTCCAAACTAGAAACAGCTGAACCTGCTTAATTTCTGCCTGCCACACGGCTGTTGCAGGCTGGCTTTCAATGCCAACCCTAAGCCAAAACCTAGTCCTTTACCCAGTTACCTGGGAGTAAGACCTATAGGTAATCCCTTCTTACGTATACCACTATACTGCAAATTGCCTATACAGTGAATTCTTATTGCTTGGTGTTTATGCCGAAGCCTCTTTCTTTGCAGATTATTATTATTATTATTATTATTATTATTATTATTATTATTATTATTATTGCATTGCCATCTGAAGGTGGGGGGAATTCCTTTAACATCCGCCTGGACTCACTGTGTATAGAGTATTTGCAGGAAACAGCTCAGACAAACCCACCAGAGGAAAGACGCATCCTAGTTGCTGCAGGGAAAGGGGAAATTATGGAGATCCCAAGGATGAGAAAATTGAGACAGAAGAAGGAAATCGGCAGCTCTTTGAGACTCTGGGGATTTCTCTGGCCGGGTGTCCAAACAGTTCCCTTGTCAATCACAGCTATGACTTCACTCATTGGCTAAAAACCAAAAGGCGGGAGCAGCCAGGCTGGCTCATCTAATAGAAAATGCTTATAAGAACAATTGCAGATTTGCTTCCTAACTTTCTTTCTAGATGGGCTAGAGACTTTAGCACTGACTGTTATCTGCCTCTCCATAACGCTGCTAATAATGGGTGCAAACCCCAATAAAATCTCAAACCCTGTGATTTAATGCAAAAATGTTCTAAAACAATTTTGCTTAGCAAGAAATGTGCGTGGAAAGAAAAACAATATTGTTTTCCAACCGGCGCCAGTTTCTTAGCAGGCGATCCAAATATTCTGAAATTTGTAAGGTTGATTTGGAGGGGGAAACCCTACAAAGAAATCCAAACCAGCTACTGGTTTAAACTAAGTTCACCAGTAAGGTATTATTCTGATTCTTTTTTCATTTCCATACCGTCAGGTGTTCTTGAGAGTTTTCTCCTGGGAGAAAAGCAGGGCAGACTTTCAAAAATGAAACAAGGTCTCTGGCATCAGGCAAGACGGCTGCCCTCTCCTAGCTATGCTGTCCTCCTAAACACCATGGTTTTTCCAAAATTCGGTCACACTAGAGTGTGACCAAGGAACGGAAGTCAGGAAGAGGCTGTGCAAGATAGCAGAGGAGATTCTCAGTGGTTGAGATCAACCAGGAGCAGATTTAGGTGCCCCCCCCCCAAAAAAAATTCCTCAAGGGGGATCCGTTCTGTTTTGTCTCATAGGAGTGAACGGTGCCCAGGATGGTTAGAAAATAAAATGAGATAATAAGACAACGATTTCAGGAAGGTGGGTGCGACCCCATGGAGGAAGCCCATGGGTCTCTCCCAGCCCTGCCTGGAAGTGACAGAAATTGAACCCGGGACCTTTGGCACGTGGAGAGGATGCTCCACCATGTTGGTGTTTGGTATCTGGGAATCGGGGAGGGGAAAGATTTTCATAGCATGGGAGAGGAGCGTTATCACCTGCTAATGGGCTGCATGTTGGAAAGTCTTTGTCAAGGGCAAAGGGAATATTTTATGTGCAACAGAGCATAAATACCGGCGTAAAATGTGGGCTGACCCAGTTTTAAAGGCTTGGGATATGAGGTGCAAGCGCACTACTTCTCTGACATCTATTTGGGGCCGTGTCCTTGATCAATCAACTCCCCATCTATTGTTCTTTAATGGCGTCAGAATTCGCACGCATTTCCAGATCCGCCCTCTTCTCTGCCAACCCTAAATGTCTGAGGGGTGGGGTGGGGGGAAGGTAGCCTGCCATCTTTGGCCCGTGTTTCTCAAGCCAGGGGAACCGGGGCCTGGTTCCCTGTTTCTGTTGCCGCGGCAACGGGCGCCATCTTGGAGACATTGATAGAAGACTATTTGTAGTCTTTTGACATAAGGGCAGAGCAAAGGGCCCTGGAGTGGGGTGAGGGAAGGGGGCAAAGACCATGGGAATTTCCCCAAGGGCGGGGAGGCAAAGTATGTAGAAACTAGCCTACCGTAAAATTAAAAATTATTGCCCCCCTCATTTTTCCCTCTGGCCCTGCCAAGTCACTGGCATGCGGCCCCCGAAAGATTGCTCAGATCAGAATGCGGCCCTCTGGCTGGGGGAAAAAATTCCCCATCCCCACTGTAGCTCCTATTCAAGCTATACAGAACCTGACTCACCACCCCAAATTCCATAGGGCAGACCCACATACGCCATACCCCATCTAGGCCCACAAAAGGCCAGCATTGGATGGGACATTGGGTGCAGGTCAGGGAGATTTGGGTTCGAATCCCTTTTCAAACATGAAGTTTACTGGGCGATGTTGGGCAATTCACACTTCCTCAGCTGCACCTACCTCACAGGGTTGTTGTGAGTACAAAATATAGAAAGCAGAACAGAAGACATGTTAAGATTAATTTCTGCCTTCAGGGGTCCTGGGATAATGCTATATTGTTGGGTCAACATCACCCTTGGTGTAATAAGAGGCTCAAAGAGCTCAGATTTAACCGATCAATTCAGCCCCGGCCAGCTCCTACTTTACCGCCTAGCTGGTAAAACTTGCCCCCTATGCCCTCCCCATCTCTTGGACCAGCCTACAAAACTCAAAACTCATTGCCTGCCTGCCCCACACAGCTCCCACCTGCCCATTGGCTTTGTGCAAGAGGCTCCTGCGCTGCCACCAGCCCCACTGTTCCTATGTGGGGCTGCCCTTGGAAGACAACATGGCAACTTCAACTGGTGCAAACTGCAGCGGCCACATTAGCGGCTGGGCTTCCCTGTAGATCTCAAAAGCCCCTGGGCCCAATTCACCGTGCTCACGTTGGTGTTTAAAGCCGTAAGCGACACGGGCCCTGAATACCTGAAAGACTGTCTCCTTCGCTACAGACTCTCTCAGGTGTTTAGATTGGCAAAGAGGGGCAGCCCTCTTTCTTGTTCCAGTGCCCTCACAAGCTCTGGGACCTTGGGGTGGAGGGTGAAAATAATAATAATAATAATAATAATAATAATAATAATAATAATATAATTATTTCTGATGGTGGGAAATAGAATCAGACTCTGCCAAGTGATCCTGTGCACAGTCCCAACCAGCGCTAGAATCTCAGCTTCAAGATCTCTCCACAATCTCCCTACGTCTGCTAGGCCTGACCCAATGCCTGCCTTTCACTATCACACGCCAATTACCGTATTTTTTGCTCTATAAGACTCACTTTTTCCCTCCTAAAAAGTAAGGGGAAATGTGTGTATGTCTTATTGAGCGAATGCAGGCTGCGCAGCTATCACAGAAGCCTGAACAGCAAGAGGGATTGCTGCTTTCACTGCGCAGCGATCCCTCTTGCTGTTCTGGCTTCTGAGATTCAGAATATTTTTTTTCTTGTTTTCCTCCTCCAAAAACTAGGTGCGTCTTGTGGTCTGGTGCGTCTTATAGAGCGAAAAATACGGTATTTATTGAGTTCAAACAGGGCTGAAAACAGACCCGCACATAATAAATGAAAATACACACACACACACACACACACACACACACACACAGACATATTAATAATGCAGAACTGACCCCCGCAAAAATACAGTTTGGGGTTTGTGGCAAAGATTGGCCTCTAACATAAATGTTTTGGTTTCAGAGGATCAATCAATTCTTGATTTTTAAAAGACGTTTCTAGCCCTCATGACTGTAGTGGGGCGTTGGGGGTGTGAAGCTTAGAAACGGGTTTCTGCTGGAATCAAAAAGCTAAAGAAACAAATGATAAGAATGCATCTGTTTGCGGTCTGGTCAGAGGAGGGAGAACTGACTCTAAGAACTCGCTGGACTCATGGTACTTTTCTTCTGACGTCTTCCCTAAGGATCGGGAAAGGCAAATGAGAAGGGCAGGAGGAATGTGGCTCTCTGCTTCTCTGTCAACGAAAACACGACTCCAAGCTGATACAACACGGAGTACAGTCCTTTCTAGACTGCACCATTTCAGACTGCAAGCTTGGAAAGTCCCAATAACACCCCCTCGCACCTCCCTGTTCTTAAAAAATGAGCACATCAGGGGGAAGCATTCTAATCTAACCCTCTCTTTTGCTTGCAATATTTTCCCCCACAATGGGGAAAGCATTCAAACAGATGATTCCCCCATCTGTAGTCCGAGTGGTACAGTCCACCATGGATATTTCTGCAATGGGCTTGGTGACACTGACACTGCTGTTTGTTTCAGTGTGCTCAATCTCTGACACAATAAGCAGGTTCTGGGGCTAAACTCTGGCTCAGATCAAGCCTCTCCTTTCCTGAAGCATCTCGCATTACGACAATATTTGAAAACCATCATCGGCATTGATTAGCAAAAATATTCTGCTAATTTCTCTCAGGTTCCTGAACAATGGCTCCTCTCGTGAATCATCTCACCTGACGAGGATATTCAAAAACCATTATCTGCATTGATGAGCAAAAATATTTTGCTACTTACCGTGGGCTGATTAAATTCAGCATCACCAAATCAACAGACTCATCAGTGCTCTTTTGCTGCAAAATATATACATCTACCTAGATCTGTATACACACAAACACCATGGATGAGAACAAGGCGAAGTGACACCCATCGACTCTCTGCCCCAAATGTATGACATGCTCTGCATTGAAATATCATACTGGTAACCCAAAAAACTACACCCGTGCTATAGACCTGCAACATTTTGAAGCCCGCTCAACTCTTGAGTGTTTCTCCACCACCAAAGAATCGTGGGAACTGTAGTCTTCTGGGGAGGCTGAAAATTCTTCCCTAGCCTATGTCCATCAACTTTTAGTTGCTAGGCACAGCTATTAGGTCTGAAACTGGTCTAACATCTGCAAACATTAACCAATCAGAAATCCCCCAGGCGCCAAGCATGTTTTGCGACTGGCCCAGGTCCAATTGCGACCACATGGTGATCTATGGAGGGCAGGTTGGCAACCGACCTCTCCACCTGGCTGGCACGTCCAACTTCCTTAAGCAGGAAAGCAGAAAAGCTTATTTATTGTGTTTATATCCCATGTTTTCCTCCAAGCGGTACATGGTTCACCCCCATCCTCAGTTAATGCCTACAACGACCCTGTGAGGTAGGTTAAGGGACTGTGAGTGGCCCAAGGTCACCCAGTGAACGTCATGACTGAGTGGGGATTTGAACCCTGATCTCCCAGGTCCTGGTCCAACATTCTAACCACTACACCACACTGGCTTCCTAGAGTACTTCTGTTATGGGAACGCTATACAGTGGTACCTCTGGTTGCAAAAGGGATCCACTCTGGAGCCCCGTTCGCAACATGAGCAGAATGCAACCCGCGTCTGTGCAAGCGCGGGTTGCGATTTGCCGCTTCTGCACATGTGCCTAACGTCATTTTGAGCGTCTGCGCATGCGCGAGCGGTGAAACCCGGAAGTAACCCTGTCCGGTACTTCCAGGTCGCCGCAGGACGCAACCTGAAAACGCTCAACCTGAAGCAAATGCAACACGAGGTATGACTGCATAAATTAAGTAGGTATATAAATATGAAGAAAGCAAAATGTCTCTTAAGAGAAAGCACCATAACCAGACTTCTACTTGCCACCTTCTCTCAAAAGGAGCTCCCCCATCCCCAACATGAAATTCTGTTTAAGCTATAAATGTTAAAAATGGAAATTGCAGCCACTGTGCTGCTGCTGAGAGCTAAACCATGGTTTGGCTCAACGTGCCACCTGAACCCAGGCTTGTGGTTTATTTTGAACCCCCACAAAGCAAGAACCACAACTAAACAATCCCTTCCGAGGTCGCATGTTCCACCATGAATTGCTCTTCTGGTCAAAAAGTTCTTCCTAAATTTGGTGGGAATCTCCTTTCTTGTGATTTGAATCAAACTGGCTCGACTCCTACCCTCTGCAGCAGCAGGAGACAAGCTTGCCCCCATCTTCCATGGGGCAGCCCCTCAAGAAGAAGAAGAGTTTGGATTTGATATCCCGCCTTTCACTCCCTTTAAGGAGTCTTAAATCGGCCAACATTCTCCTTTCCCTTCCTCCCCCACAACAAGCACTCTGTGAGGTGAGTGGGGCTGAGAGACTTCAGAGAAGTGTGACTGGTCCAAGGTCACCCAGCAGCTGCAGGTGGAGGAGCGGGGAATCGAACCCGGTTCACCAGATTACGAGTCCACCGCTCTTAACCACTACACCACACTGGCTCTCTCAGATATTTGAAGATGGCTCTCATAGCAGCTCTGTCTTCTCTTCTACAGGCACCCAACTACCTCAACCGTTCCTCCTAAATACCTTTATAATCTTGGTCTCTGTCTTCCGGCACACGTTCCAGCTTGTCAATATCCTCCTTAATGCTAAGCTACAGTTCGGTTTAGCGGCACATGCAAAGTAGCTCTGTGCCGGTCCTGAGATTCGCAAAGAATTTACTTCGGCTGTCGAAAACCTACTACCATACAGTTCCGATGCTCAGGAAAGAAAGGAAACAGAACTCCAGCCCAGATTAAGAGGGGAAGTTCCTCAGTCCCATTTACATAGGCTCAAAGCATGACAAGATCTCTTTCTGTACTAATTTGGCAGTATTTGTTCAGTTGGCTGGCAAGTTGCCTTTCCAGTCCAGCCTTTCCAAAGGACTCGGGGAAGGTTAATTCTACCCAAAAGGAAACCAAAATGCCACGAAAACAGCCATCACTGAATCACAACCGCAAAGAAAAGGCCCAATGTGTTGAGGCGTTCGAGCCAGGCAGGTTTGTGAACCAGCCAGCCTCGCGCCCATCATACAAAAAGCTTAAAAACATGCACAGTTCTTAACTCTAGCTACCAAACAAGGAACTAAGGCAGGCACAACGATTACGGTTCGTGCTAACTATGGTTTGTGCCCTTAAGCGCTGGCTGCTATCTCAATTGCACAGCAAAACTACAGCACAGGTTACTAAACTAAGCACCAGCCCTCGATGACGGGCATATGGAGATATCAGCAAGAGACCGGCTTATCGCCGTATGTACTGTGGTTTGCTGGAATGCTCAACCACGCAAACCATACTTTGGAAGCCCACTGCAAACCACGGTTTCACAATCCGGGTTGGTGGGCGATCCTTTTAAGCGATGGTCTAGCTGGGCATTCAGACATGACACTTAACCCTAGTTACAGAAAACAAGCCAGAGTTCGGCTGTTTCCAGTCCATCAGGTCATTATAAGAATTTTGTAACTAAAAAAAATCATGGCTTGCTTTTAGGTGCCAGGCAAAACCAGACATTTGGTCCTTAATTTGAAGGGTTCCTGGGTATGTCAGTGGCTTCTCTTTATAATTTTTTGTCAACAGAGTGGACCTGTCCTAATATATACAAGCATTTTAGACTTTCTTTTTATTCTTGTTATTACATTTGGCATTAGCGTCTCGTTTGTGCACTGCAAGACGCCTCAGGACACATTCGAGTGAAAAGCCAGATATATATATATATATATTAAAATAAGAAATTCACTGATCTTTGTAAACTGCTCTGGAATCCTTTTCCAGCCAAAGAGAAGGCTAAAAATGCTTCAGATAAAATAAATAGGCATTATTTCTTCTGGATGATATTCCTGGAAGACATTCCGGGTCAGACTTTAATGGATCTGTAAGGCGGAGACCCTAAGCAAATTTATTACAGAAATGAGCCCTGCTGAGGTCAATGGGACTTACTTCTGGGTAAAAATGATTGCCCTTCAAGGCAACTCACCCGCCCAAAACACCTCTGTCTGTATTTGGGATAATCAACCATTGGCCCGCCAGATGTGGTCGGACTACAACACCCATCAGCCTTGCCCATTGGCCATGCTTGCTGGGGCTGATGAGAGTTGGAGTTCACATTCCCCACCCTGCTCTGCAGCCAAGATGGCTGAATCTGGCATTGGGGCAAAGCAGAGGAGGCAGTTTTTGGGGTACGTAGGATCCTAATGATTAAAGACTTCATACGTCAAAATGAATATTGGGGCTTGAGGGATTTTATTTTGTAATTTAAACTGAGTTAAAATAATTCTTTTTACACACACGAAACCCCCGGAATTGGCGTGCGGTAGCATTTTCCACCTGGCACTCTGATGAAGTGAGTGATAGGAAGCAGGAAAGGGGCAGGGGGGAAACTGAAATTCTAAAAGGGCACAGGATCAGACTGGAAAAGGGGTCCTCTCCACGCACTCTCTGCGTCTGGACAATTATAACGTGTTTCGCTTTAAAGCTTTTGGAAATTGAAAATAATTCTCCTTGATGAAAATTGTCTCTTAGAGTTTATTAGGGCTGAAGACTTGATAGACATGATTAATCAAGTAATTTATTAATCACAGATTAAAACGTGGGGTTTTAATCAGATTTTAATCAGAGCTGTCTGGGCAGGCATCTTTGGTTTGTAAGTCATCTATGACTACCCCTCGACTCAAGCAACACATCTTAGATAAACTCCGAACCAATAAGGATCCACCGATAAATTGGCTTGTATCTATATTGCACAGTAGGTGTGCTGCTGAAGCCTCCAGCAGTGATTGGCTAAGCTTCTGTGATGACACGGAATGCTTTCAGGTGCTCCAGGTTCTATGGGGACAAAGCTATTGGAATGTTTGTAGGTCCGGTTTCTGTGAGGAAAGGGAAAACTAGGAGTTTGGCTGGAATTTAAGCCTCACAACGACCTTAGGTCTGAGGATAAGGAAGATATTATGGAAAGTAAAGAAGCCCAGAAGCCCAGAGGTAAGGTGGATGAAGAAACAGGTAAAAAACCAAAAACCAAACAAAACAGAACAGAAACACAGCGAGAAGTTGGGGGAAGAGAAAGAAGCTTCAGCAAAAAGGAAGAGAAAATAGGGAACAAAGAAGGAGCTAACAAGAAACGGGGAGAAGGGCTGAATTTCACAAATTGATATGAATTAACCACCCAGTTCTTGGGATGCTGGTTTCTAGTTGATTTTAATGGGACACATTTGACTGTGCACTGATCATATTAATGATTAGTGCAAGGCCATTATCTTCATCAAAAAAGTTCTTAATTGGTTTGGATGTTCTCCTCCCTCTAAACCACCTGGAAAATTATAGGTTGTCAGCTCACTTTTTAAAAAATGTTAATTAAAAATATTTAAAATGAGGAGGAACATTTTAAGAGATTTTTTTTTTCTTTTTGAGCCACAAAGGTCTTGGAAGTTCTCTCTTTCTCCCCTCGCCCCTAATATAAATTTTAATTTGTGCTAACGTTACAGCAGGGGTAAAAGTAAACCGTTCCCCCCCCCCCGAGCCCCACTAGAAGGGGGGGGGGGGGCAAAAATTGAAACAGGAGCATCCTGAAAACAAAAATGTTTTTATACGGATCTTTAAGAAGGCAAACCCTGAAAGCCTCAACAAATTTCTTCAAAAATTAAGGTTCATAATTCCGGTTTTTTAACACTTCATTCCTTCCGCCGATAAGGGCTGACTGTTTCTATGGAACCATTTGTAGCCAAACCACAACCCAATAACCAAAAACATCAAAACTATGTTGAGCAGCCAAGGTGGCTTCCATCAGCCTCCCATTCCACCAATCTGAACAAACCGTCCGCTCAGCTTCTCGCTATGGGTAGTTGGATAACCGCCATACCCATCCTACGATATGCCCCACCCAACATAAAATGCAAACATTTATCACGTCAGCAACCCTCCTCTCCCAAAACTGCTGCCAGAGAACCCACAACTCCTATTCCTGGAGGTGCAGGAAAAGAAATTTCAAGTCTATACCTTGCTGGTCCACGAAGGAGGTTGGCTGAAGACTGAAGATCTTCCGAGCTCCTGGTCTTGACCTGCAGACATCCGTTCGATGGTGGCAGATCGATACGGCTGAGAAAGAGAAAACAGACAGATAGATGGAAAGGAGCAGGAAAAAGGAAGATGTCTACCCGACCGAACGCCGCTCGGTTTGCCCCGTTCCCCGTGCGCCACGTCCTCCCGTGCCCGCAAGGGTCTCCGCCTGCCGCGACGAGGCTGTGCCCAGGCAGCAGGGATGGCAGCGACTTATCATTCTCCTCTGCTTCTCCGCCGTTTGCCGCAGTGCCAAGATCAGCGACTCTGTTCACGTGCCAGTGCGGGTGATGCCAGCCCCAACCGGCTTTGACTCGGTGCCAACTTCAGATGGTCACAGGTGTGCCAGTGTGAAAAGAGGGAGTGGGGCTGGGTAGGGAGAGACAGAGAGAGAGAAGGAGGAAGAGACGTTTAATACAGAACTGATCTGGGTGCCAATAATGCCCGCGGCACGATCTGGCAGATGCCCTTCCTCTCCCCCAAATGGCACCCCTCAAGTTGCACCCGCCCCCACACTTCCCAGGCTTTTATTTCCACGTCTGCCTCTCTCTTTCTCTCTCTCTGATCCTATTCTAGTGTCAATCCCGGTCTCTCATCCCAAATGCCCGCAGCTCCGCCCGGGTGCAACCTCAGATGCCCGTCACCAAAGCACCCACCCGGCTCCATCTCCTCTCCCTTCCTTCGCCTTCCTCCTGCCCCTTCCATGCCTCCCAACACCTCGCCACCTGCCAGCTGCTGCCAAACGGAGAGAGCGGAGCCGGGGGGCACGGTGCCAAGCACGCGAAAAGCGCCGCACACCCTCGCACACATCTCAGAGAGAAAGAGAGAGATTTGCACGCGGCGCGCCAGCCTCCACCCTGGTGCCAATCCGTTCACTCTGGCCCTCTCTCTTGCCTCCCATCTCCCTGCGGGCACAGCCTTGCCAGCTGCTGCTTGCTGCCTTGCCTGGTCCTTCCCCCCCCCCCCACTCCCTTTCGCTGTCATCATGCACCAACCTGGCATCTCACACTCAGCCTCCCCCCCACCCGCCCTACACACCAGCACCCCTGCCCGGTTGGCATTAAAGCTGGCGAGCGGAGCGAATGCCGCAGAGGGAAGGGAGGGTGGCAGGGCGGGCGGCTGCTCTGTGCCAGCTGTCATCGCCCCTCCCCCGTGCAGAATCGCTTCGGGTATCGGGCTGGCATATACCACCTCCTCTCCTTCCTCTCCACACCCCCCCACAACCTCCATCCTCCTGCCTCCCCCCTCCATCCCTGCGCTTATCGTTCGCTTTTTCGTTCTATCCATCCCTTGCTTCTCTGCCCCTTCCCCTCGTCGCTCGCTCTCCTTCGAAACCCTCATCCTCCACACTCTCATCCTTTCCCCCCTCTTTTCCTATCACCCTTTCTCTTCCTCCCCTCTTTTTTTCTTTCTTTCTCTCTCTCTCTCCTTCATGCGGTGCCAACCTCGTTCCAGCACCCATTTCCAGTTATGTCCTGTGGTGCAGGTGCCAGCCCGTTATGCCAACCACGCGGGGGGGGGGGGGGAGAGAGATACAAGGGTTTGTGCGTATGTGTGTGTTTGCATGACCAAGCCTGGCGTCCCTTCCGGAGAAGAGACGAAACACACACACACACACACAAAACACCCGACTCCTTGGGCTTTCGTCGCGCCCACCCTATCCGCCGTTGAAAGTGGCACGGTGCCAACCCAGGAACAACCATCTGTGCCCCCGTCTGCAGCACCCCTCCCCCCGCCACCGCACTAATTGGCAGCTGAATTAATTAAATCCTGGATGCTAATTAACATTCCGACGGTGCAATGGTGGGGGAGGAAGAGGAGGGGTTCGGAGGAAGGGATCTCCAGCGGGCATCGAGGCAGGGGGGGAAAGTGGGCAAGGAAAGTCAAGGATTTGGGGGTGCCATTTAATGGGGGGCAGGAGGTGTTTTGCCTCCCCCCCAAACCTGGGAGGAAAGTAGAGTGTTAGGAGGGAGCAAGGATAGGACCTTGAGAGGGAGGGAAGCCAATAATCGAAGTAATTAGAACGTATTATAAATTGTGTTGCAAACATTGAAAAAAAAATAACTTGGGATTTGGTGTCCAGAGATTTTAATGTAACCAATATTCCTCTTTTCCTCTTAGGGAAAGTTTTTTTTTGGGTGGGAGGCAAGGGCAAGATTATTGGCGAACTGGCAAAATATGAACGTTACAAATTCAGT